GGGGTCTGGACACAGCTTTCCACAGGCACCTGGCTCAAGATCTCTCAGAAGGTTGCAATCAAACTGTTGGCCAGGGCTGATATTTTAAAAACAAACCACAACTACTTGATTAATAGAGCAAAAATACTCCTTTTGCTAGATAATATTTTCCAACTCTTTTTCAAACTGTTTTTTTTTTTCCAAACACACCAAATGTATACAACATCCTCCCATTAATAACAGTGATCGGGATTGTGGGGACAATGAATTCCAACAATTAAAATGAAAAGAAATAAATCTATAATAATCAGAAAGTCCAGTCCCTCCATGTCTCTCTGATTTTAAGCTGGAAGACGTGGTAACATGGCCGGTACTACACTGAAATGGGGCAGACTGCACAGTATTTAAATTAATCATGCCCCTATTAATGCCATTCAATCAAAGTCATGTTAGTAATAAAACTACTATTGATTGAGAATCTCTATGAGTCAGACAAACATATAAAGTGCCAGTTTTCATGTCACTGGACATTAGGCAACATAGGACAATGATCTCTTAGAGACAGTAAACAAAAGAGGAAAGAGATGACACATTGTATTGTCCCTGCTTACCAACTTGAGAGAGTTTCCAGACCACAGCATCTCCCAAACCCAGGAAGACCTAAATTGCTAGAGTGCACATGACAGAGAACTAGGGAGTCAAATGATGCTCAGAACAAGAACTCCCAAGATGTGCACAAGGTTATCTTTAAGATTCCCTGCCTACTGCTCACACAGCATGCATGTGTGAGGGAACCACCATGTGCCATGGAAAGAACCTCCCAGAAGGATCTGAGCCAGTGCTGGGGCCTCACAACAGAGCTTAAATAGTAGCATCTGTTCCCACAAGGCATTGCATAAAATACACAAGAGCATCTTGTCTCTGAATTGAGCAAAAACTTAACCCTAGACTATTCTTGTCCTTCCTGACAAATCTTAAAAATAATATCCCAGCCCTGGCTGGTGGGGCTCAGTAGACTGAGTGCCAGACAGCAAACCAAAGGGTCGCCAGTTCGATTCCCAGTCTGGGCACATGCCTGGGTTGCGGGCCAGGTCCCCAGTGTGGGGCATGTGAGAGGCAACCACACATTGATGTTTGTCTCCCTCTCTCTCTCTCCCCCCTTTCCCTTCTCTCTAAAAGTAAATAAATAAAATCTTTAAAAATAATAATAATATCCCAAAGCAGTTTCATAATAACTTTTAAAAGAGCTGACGCCAGCTCTAAGCCATCACTCTTCCAGCTGAAGTTTCAAACAGCACAGGGTTGAGATAAACTGATTGATTCCTCTGTGCCTCATCAGAATCCACACACAACAGAAACCACGAGAGATAATGTTATTAGTGTTGTTTTAAGACTAAAGTTTTTGGGAAAGTTGTTATTTCGCTATAATTAAGTTCAGAGATCTCTGAATTAACAAGGACAATATCTAGGGAGCTTCCCCTAGAAGCGACTGTTGATCACAAGATACTGAGCTAATAACAATTGAATGAAACTTTTTGTAGTCTAATAAGTGGTAGTACTTAAATATGGAAGGAACATGAATCATAGGATCCCAAGAATGAACTATAATGATTTTAGTAGCAATGACCCCTGCTCCCAAGGAAGCAAACTTTACTGTATCTAAACCCTCGTGTAATTCCCTCCCATGTTGACTCTGAGCTTGGCTATGTAACTTGCTTTGGCCAATGGAAAGACAGAAAAATGTGATGCTAGCAAAGATTTGAAAAACACATTAATGTTCACCCTCTCCTGCTGCTGGGACCTCTAAAATTCCATGCGAAAGGCATGGTCTAACCACCTGGAGGACGAAAAGAACATCTGTAGGAAAAGGTCCAGCAAGCCCAACCATTCCAGCCATCCCATCCCATCTGAGGCTCTGGACATGTAAATGAAGCCATACTGGATAATTCAGCCCTTGCTGAGACAGCCCAGGCCAAAAGAAATGCAGCCAACCCAGAGAGCTATGAGAAATAATAAATCATTACTTAAAGCCATTAAATTTTGTGAATGGTTTGTTATGAAGCAAATGCCAGCGCATACAGTCTCTGAAAAGACTCCAAACCACATACTCCTCTAACAACTCCAAGAATGCAACAAATCCTTCTTTATACATAATATAGATTATTGTCTCTCTGTTCTCAGTTTCCAAAGTGCTTTTCTTATAAGAAGAACTCCCATATTTGATATGATTTTTTAGGGAATTCATATAGCTTTCTGGCTTAAATGTTCCCTCCAGAATCCACGTTTCTCATCTACCCTAATCCACTTCACAACAGCAAGCATTCCATCCAACTCAGTTGTTTTGTAAAGTAGGTAAGATGAGAAAGAATCTCAAGTTCTGACAGCATTGCCTCAAATGTTTCTGAAATCCATTCTCTTCCCTTCATTCCAATCGCCTTTGACTCATCATTTTAGTACTTGATGGTTTCTTGCTTATGCAACTACACATCACGAAGCCTACCAGGTTTCCAGTTTCTCCTCTACAAATACACCCTCCATATCATCCCCAGAGTAATCTTCTAAAATTAAAAACTTTCCATAGGTTCTCATTCAGGTCTGCTAAGGGCAACAAAAATAGACTTAGGGCTCACTAAATGCTTGCTAAGCTCTATGCTAAAGCTGAAAAAGCCAATACCTGCTCTCAAGGAGTTTCCATTCTATTACAGTGAGACTGACAGGTAAAGAGATATTTTTGATGTAATGTGAAAATTGTTACATGGAGGGAAACAGGAAGAAAATTTGTCAGAAAAACTTACTAGAGGTGACAACAGTGAGGAAATCTGAAAAGCTGATTGAAATTAGCCAAGCGTTGACATACAAAGGGCTGCCAGGCAGGTCAAACGGCACAGCAAAGACACAGGGCCTGGAATCACCAGGCTCAGTGTAGGGAACTACCGCAAACAATTCCACATCCTTCCAGGTTCAGTTTTAAAAGGTAGCCTAGGGACGTTGTGTCTTAGAAAGGGGAAAAAAAAGATCTGTGGTAGGTAATATGACATCCCCCAAGTTATCTATGTCTTAATTTCTAAGACATGTGAATGTTAAGTTTCATAGCAATGGGGAATTAAGATTGCTGATGGAGTTGAGGTTGCTAATCAACTGACCTTGAAATAAAGAAATTATCCTGGGTCATCTAGGTGGATTCAGCATAATCAAAAAATTTTTAATTATGGAAGAGGGAAGCAGAAGTCTGAGTCAGGGAGAGATCTGATGATGCTGCATAGTGGATCTGAAGTGGGAGGAAAGGGAAGTTTTGAGAAGCCAGAAAGAGCAAGGACATAGATTGTGCCCTACAGACTCCAGAAAAATGCAGCCTTGCCAACACCTTGATTTCAGCACAGTGAGATTCATTTCAGACTACTGACCTCAATTATTGTAAGATAATACCTTTGCGTTGTTTTAAGCCACTAAGATTGTGGTCATTTGTTACAGCAGCAATAAGAAACTAATACGAGGACCAAGCCACAGAGCCTGTTATATGCTATGTGTTAAGTCTTCCTAGGAGAAATGAGGAGTTTAATGCAGGGTAGAGAAGTGGTATCAAAGGTCAATTTAAAAGAAGGATTGTTGGGAATAAATGGTGGTAGGGAGATGTTTGTTATAAGGCTATGGCAATCACACAGACCAAAAAAAAAAAAAAAAATGAGTGGTTTAACTGGGGGAGTACTATAAAAACAGACCAGAGAGAACCAATTAATTTCAGTGATAAAATCAGTAGGACTTAGAGATCAAATGAATGTGTGAAATAAGGGGAAAGTATTTAGGAGCATTTCTCAATTTCTCACTTGGGAAGATACTGGTATTGTCACTGGGATGGAAACTGCAGAAAAAAAATAGGGCCTTTGTTTTGTCCTGTTGTAGTGGAGGGTATTGTGGTGGGTTGAGATTTGAGTACACCGAATTTGAGATGATTGTGACACATTCATGTGGAGAGCTGGCAGTGGACTATATCCCAAGGCTAGATTTCAAATTTAGGAGTCCTAAGCTTGTGAGTAGCATCAAAACAAATAGAGCAAATCTAAAGGAGCATGTATAGATTAAGAAACTGCCTCTGGGGACACTATTTAACAGTGATTATAACTCTTCTTTAATCTTTGAATAAAAAAGGGTTATTATCCACAAGGCTGTTGTCAAGTTTAAATATGGTATTTAGCACAGTGTCTAGAGTTAGTAATTTCTCAATCAATGGCCTAGAAATAACAGAGAACAACTGGGCCAAAGAATCTAAGAGGCTAAGTCCAAATTCCTGAAATCATGTAAGTCTCTGCCCTCAATGAACTTAACAGTCTACTTAGTTCCTTGAAGAAAAGGGGCATATTTTACCCACCATTGAATCTCTGGTGCCTGACTCAATGACTGGCCCAAGGGAGTCAGGCACTTCATAAATTTTGGCTGAATGGCTGAGAGGGAAAAGAGGGATACAGGAGAAAGCAAGGCAGGCAGAGAGGAAGGAGTGGAGAGAGAAAAGAGAAAGAAAAACGGAAGCCTATGGGAAGAAGGCAACGAGCCCATTAGGAAACCAGAGCATGTTATACAACGTCCGGAGTGGGAAGCGGTTGTGGGAGCCAGGGGTAGGGTGTGCTCACAGTGCCTAGGAGGCGGACAGGTAGAAAGGCCTCTGGCCCTGGAATGGATGATACAATCATTCCTGGATTTGTATTTATTTATTTATTTATGGAACCATAGGTCTTTGGAGGCCAGGAGAAATTAGCCTTATATGTTGAGATTTTTGGTTTGACCATTAGTTTCAGAAAGAAATGGTATTTCTACTGTGGGCCTCTCAGGCCAGGGACCTAGGACTGATATCCCCAGTCTGGGCGCTCAAGCCTCAGCATGAGGGGCCAACTCCCTGAGGGTTCCGCCCTTGGGGGCCCCCACGTTCGGAACTGGAACGCTTCGGGGGGTGGGGCCTCGGGGACGCGGGGATACTGGCCATTCCCGGTCCGGTCCGGACAAGGGACGAGGAGGGATCCAGGACAACCATGGACCTATACCTCAGTGCCTGCTCCAAGGCTGCCAGCGTTGCTGCCACCAAGACGGCCACCAGCAGCCTGGCCGAAGACAGCCAGCAGTGCGGAGACGTGAGTGGCAGGGGGTCTGGCGTCCTTGTCTTCTGGTGGGACAGGGGAAGGAGAGCCAGGCAGGTCCCTTGGTTCTTAACCGTCGTGATCAGGGCGCCCTCGTGCGGCGCAGCTGGTAGCGGTGGCAGCAACTGGCTGGTGACCAGGAGGTCTTCCGGGCTGTCGGCCAGGGCAGGCCCCTTCAACCCTGAGTGTATGACTCTTAAGGTTCTTTTGGTTAAAGTAATTGTCAATCGGGCTGAACTACGTAAATAAAGCCTAAAAGGAAAGACCAAACTCTCCGATTGTACCCGACAGGGCGTGCACAAAACCCACTTCCCAGGGATCGGAGCGGCCGAACTGCTGGATCTGCCTCTTGGGGTCAAGCTGCCTGTAATCCCAGGGAGCAATACTTTATACTATACTACAAAGTTAAGTGAAAAGGTAATTTTTGTCTTAGCGTTGGCTGTCTTTGCCCATTTCTACTTGCTGTTAAAGTCAGGTGCTACATTATACAAAATTCATTAAGGGAATTCGTATTAACAGTCATAACAAAACAAAACAAAAAAATCAAACCCACATCTATACCAAGGTATTGTTTAGGATTTATGCGAAGCAACTTCATCTAGTACAACTTACACGGAATCATGGGCAAGAAGGTTTAGATTCTTAGTTCTCTCTTCATTTAGAGAAGCACTTTACTTTCATTATAGTAACAATTAAGATGCACCTATTTAGTGAGGTTTCATTTACTTAAAAATAAATGTTTGGTTTAAAGGTGGACAATTATTTGTGCTGTCTGGCACTTAATTATGTTATGATTTTAACCAATAATAACTTGGACAAAACTCTCATTACAGAAACTTCTCTATGATTGGTTTTTGAATGAATGTCTATTTCATACACAAAAGTGAGGGGGGAAAAAAGGAATTGAAATGAGTTAACATGTGCTTTAACCTCACTTTAATGGAAGAAGGAAGGCTCTGCCTCCCTGAGGAGATTCCATGATTTGCCCCAACCTTGCTATCCAGTCTTAACTCCAGCTAACTCCAGTTTCCTCCAGTTTTCTCCAGCTGGGTTCTTCTGTATGTACTCACACATGCCATGTTAGTGCTTCTGTGCCTTTATTCACCTTGCCCCAAACCTGGCATACCCTTTCCTCTCCTCAATCTATGAATTTCAGCCAGCTTTTAAAATTGTTTCTGAACCATCATAGGCCCCGATGAGCTTATATTTCTTTAGAATTTGCATTGTCCTTGGTTTTATAAGTTTTCTAAGCACTACAATCCTATAACTGTTGCACGTGTTTAGTCCTCACCAATACTCCCACCCTTGAACTTCCCTTGACTCAATAACTAACACTGAACGAGGTTCAGTACATTCTTTTTGAACGGTTTACTTGATTATTGTTGCAAACAATTCTACAAGGAAGAGTTCTGAGGGATCCCCTTACCCTTCTGTGCTCTATGATATCAAAAATGAGTAGAGCCTCTTGATATTTCACACTTGCCTAATTAGCATGATCTCTCAAAGTAAGTTCTGCTTCTGGAAAAAAAAATACTTGTTTTTTAAAACAAATCCATTCTGCTAGAAAAGAGCAAGCTAACTAAAAACATATCTACCTCATACAATTTATCTGAGTCACATTCATACAAACTAGCTTTCCTGAAGCATGTCTGAAGCCTGTATTACTTCCCTTTTGTCCCCAAAACTTATGGCTGTCTCTTGTCTGCTTCCTCAAATATATTTTTTTTGCTGTATTATCATTTTCTCTGTTGAATATTAATTCACTTGTCTACTATGTTTCAAAAAGGTGTTCTCTCTGTTTTTTATTACATTCATTCCCTCAAATTTTCTTCATTTAATTATAATTAGGCACCATACTATTTCTTTGAAGACTGAGTTTGTGAGAGTGTTCCTTTTCTTTCAGTAAAACTCCTCAATGAAGTAATGCTTTATATTTACACTTTTGGGTTTTTTAAAATTTTTTTTAAAGAGAAAAAAACCAACTACTTTAATTGACAACAAAAGGGTTACCCTGACTCTAGTGAATGGATTTGTTTGAAAGATGTTCTTTGTTCCTAAGTCAGTAGCCCAGGTTCGATCTTGAGAAACAGCTCATCACAGTTAAAAGTCAATGTCTTAAAGAAGTCAACAGCTAAATGTCAATGTCTAAAAGAAACAATCAGTCCAATCCTTGACTCATGATTGTTGGTTGCTTCATATCTGCTCTCACTGAATTCAAGGCATTGCCCTATAGAATTATCTTCTTTGCCTTCCCAGGGAAGCACTGGTAATTAAGGAATTATGCTTTATGATTTAGGCTCCTTGAAAGAGATTAAAGTCTGGTGTTAAGCAAGAAAACAGAAACTTTCCAAGAAACTTTAAATGGAAAAGGAAAGTTACCATCCTGTCAGGTGTCACCAATGTGCCCCTTTTCCCACATAGAAAGCATCCTCCCACCTACCTTAATGGAGTTCTTTTTAGGGTCCACCCAGCCAGTCTCCTCATTAGTGTTCAGAGTTTGACTCAGGTGGCTACGGCCAGACAAAACAGCAGAGCAGTCATATGTGGGTACCTGCAGACAAGTCAGAAGCGTGGAGTCTTCTGCACTGAATCGGATGCCTGCAAACAGCGCAGGTGCTCTCAGCTTTGCCACATCTCCCACACTTTCCAGCGCCTTTCACTTGAGCTAGTTCCTGCTTTGGCATTACTTTAAACGAAAACTTCTGGAAAACTAAAATAATGTAAAGACATTAGGACAATGTCCACACCTACTTCTATTCTCCACTTTTTCTCTTTCACAGGTTCTCCCTTAATGCATTAACACCAGCCTGCTATTGAAAAATGGACGAAGAACTCACACATACACACAAACACATAAAGCCCACTTTTGCAATGTTTTAATTTACAAGTGAGCTTAAATAACTGAGCTGTTTTCTCTAAAGTAAAATATAGAAACATGGCTACCAGCTGATATTTTCCTTCTTTTATATGTTAATGGCTATTGCACAAGGTTATGTTTGGTCTTCACACACATGAAAAAAAAATTTCAATTCTTATCAATATCCTTTATACCTGGTTCTTCAATACATTGAACTTTATAATTTAGATCTTGAACTTTTTCCTGACTGTAACACTCAGAAATTGTTGGGCTTCTTTTATTAGATAAGACCCCAAGATATCGTTAAGTCTTTAATCCGCAATCATTAACATCTGAGTTCTACTTCTGTTTTTGACAAATTTGTTTCCATGGATTTTGAAAAAATGTTTTCCATTTTTCTTCATTTTCAGGATATTGAGATGTAACAGTCATAATTAATATTATCTCTTTACCTTTTGAATACAGTGCCTTGACCTGGAAGTGAGAGGAGAAAAAGTAGAGGACCTTAGCATAAGCTTTATACATTTAAACAAACTTTATCCTGTTTTCTTTCTCTTCCTCACTTCCTTTCTTTGGCTCAGGGACAGGGACTGATGGACATCAGTGGAGAAATTGAGTGAGAGTGGATTTTTAGATTAATTCAGGTCAGTAGGGGGAAAATTAGGAAGAAGCAATTAGCATTAGTTAATCCAAATCTTTCTGTTGCCAGTTTTCCTCACTTCAAATCCTTCTTGCATGCTTTATTTTTAATGAACATTCTAGGTATTTTAATAGATTGATATTTAAAAGTGAAATTCATTAATTTTACACTTGTTATATTTTTAAATCTGTGTTTGCAGCTTTTTCGACCTTCTTATGGTTTTAACCTGACTGATCCTTATTGTCGACTTTTGGAAAACCAATATAAAAGTCTCCATGATCCACATTTAAGAGCATACCATACACGCAAAGATATCCTGAGGAGATTAAAGAAAGGTGGCTACATCACCAGCAATAATAAAGTGGGTTGAAGATTACTTATTTTTAATCATTCAAGACTTCCAAGACTTGATATAAGCTTGCTTCTATACCTCACTGGGGAAGGGATGGGGTTTCACCTTTAACTTGATCCTGAGAGATACTTAATGGGAAATTCTATAAATTACTTAGTATTTTAGGTCAAGAGAAGTCAGATGACAGTTGTTTCTAAATTATCTCTTCTACCGTTTTTATTTGTAATATCAAAGATGATTACTACATAATTTGAGGATATAAAGATAATCCCCCAACTGTACCATAGTTCTCTCTGTTGCTAATGATACCATATGCTTGTCAAGGATTATGTACTACTGAATTTTTTAAAAAGTTGAGACAAAATAAAAACACAGCAAAATTAGCCTGATAGAATCCTCATAGAACATAAGAAAGCTGTATATACTAATTTGTGTTGAATATTATTGTTAATTGGTATTTCATTCTAATAACTCCAATTGTATGTACTAAATTTATAAATCATATTAATAAATAATAAAACTTGAAATAAAAACACCTGTCATTTAACAATTGTAGAGAGATACTACTTACAAAATTGTTAGCAATTTATTGCTAAAATGCTATCAAATTGTATATTATTACTATTTTTCCTCATGAAAGTGATCGTTATGAATTTTAAATGTATTTATACTTTCTATTATTTTTGTTTTTTTAAGATTGTATGTAACTTGAGGGAATTGAATAAGTACAGGCAATATCTTACCAGTTTAAAATTAGACTTCGAAAGAAACTATGTAAGAGAACAAGTAAGTTAAATATTTAACTTTTGTTTTTAACATAGGGTTTGGAAGAAAAGTTTGTATGAACTGTATTTTCTTATAATATTTTTTACCTTTAATTTGACAAACTAATTAAATACTTCTTTGCAAATGAAAATTTAGAACAGGAATAAAAAAGAATTTGGGGTTGCTATATTGGGGCGAGAAAAGGAAAGGAACCAGGTCAGGTCATCTATCAATATACCAGTGGTAATTGACGTAATTTAGTAATTAAATTGCTACTCTAATGTGTTCATTCTGAGTTGGGGCCAATAGGAGGAGTCCACTGTGGCAACAGATTTTTAAGCTGGAACCCAAAACAGCTTAAGTAGCAGGAAAGGATCAGTGTGAATAGTTATGTTGTCCTATGGGCGACTCAAAAAACACGCACATTGTGTGTTTGTACCCACACCTGTGTCATCCGGTACAAGATTATAAAGGTAAAGTGAAATGACTGCGTGTAGAGTGAGTGGGTATAAAGAGTGACTTCCTTTCAATTTTTGACTCAGAATTAGTGAGTGAGTGTGTATGCGTGCACACGCATGTCCATGAGTGAATTCAGTCTTAGGGTCAAGAGAGCTGAATAAAAATTAGAAAGGTATAGCCCTAGCTGCTATGGCTCAGTGGATTGAGCACCAGTCTGCGAACCAAAACGTCACTGGTTTGATTCCCAGCCAGGGCACATGCCTGGGTTGCAGGTCAAGTCCCCAGTTGGGAGTGTGTATAAGAGAGACAACTGATTGATGTTTCTCTCCCTCCTTTCCCTTTCTCTAAAAACAAATAAATAAAAGCTTTAATAAATTAGAAAGGTATATGTGTACTTTTACAAATTTATGTTCTAATATTGAGAGAGTGGTATAGAAATGAGAATGACTTTCTAATCCCTTTAAGTGTTCTATATTTTTCCCTGTTTTCCCCTCTGTGTCTAGAGTTTCTCCTGCCCTTCTTTCATATTTTAATTTAATTTTTTCAGAACGGATGGAAATCTATGAAGATATTTATCTTTCATTTTCAGAGAGAGAAATCTTTAGTTCAGTTAACCATGTCTGTAATGGATTCAAAATAGATTTAAATGCAGTTAAACAGAATTAACTATTTAGAAAGTACAAGAATTTTATTAAACATTAAATATAAAAAGGCATAGCAAAAGACAGTTTTATTTCTCGTAAATTAAAAAAATTACATACACATATACGTATAGAGATATATGCATGTATATGATACACACTTTCTTTTTTTTTATAGAAAATGCTTGCAAAACAAGTTAATAAACTACGAGAAAACAATCAAATGCCTGGACACTCTGATGTTTCACAGTTCCAGAACTGGTTGTTACAGGATGACACTCAATCTTTTAAGGACCAGGAAAGGTTAATAAGACACAGGTAAGATTGTAGTTAATGCATATTTTATATACATTGTGCAAGTTGGGAAAATACTAGAAAGAATTGGAGTTAGGAATTTTTTAGGTCCTAAACACAATTCAACTCCACTACTGCCCTCAGTATGAGAGGAAGGGAAACCAAGGGGCGCAGAAATTGGGAGCTTTGACACCAAGGGAAGAAAGAACAATTTCCACCAGAAGTGACAGGGCTTCTTGAGCATCCACGAGGTAATCCAAAATGCTTCCTGTGGCTGGGAATGGAGGAAAAGTATCTTTTAGCATATGCCTCTAACAGTAGCTTTTATGATTCATCTTTAAAAGCGGAGGGCATTAAATTTGAGGAAGTAAGTGCAAAGTCAGAAATGGAAGTTGGTAAAACTGTTTCTAATACCAATATAAATATGCATTGTCCCTAAAAGGAAATGTGTAAGCTCTTCAAATACTACCTACTCATGTTCAATTATTGCCATTCTGTAGTCAAGCTCATATCTTAGGAAGTGAATGGATATTATAGCTCTTTTTCCTCTTCCTCTTTCTTCCTTCATTAAGGTGAGAGATTGGGCTTTATAGCTTGACTTCTATATTCCATGGTTTCCTTTTGTGACAGTTCCATAATGCACAGTGATATACCAGAGAACCAGACTATAGATGGAAAATTTGTCCAAAACTTTGTAAATCACAGTGGACCCAGGATACGTCTTTTTCTTAGGAGATTTAAATGTTTTTTTTCTAGATTTGAAGTCAGTTTTTCAGTTATTTAAGCCTTCTTTGCCAACTCATATCCATAAATGCCATGAGTTATAAATAATTGCTGTGCACATTTTTTAATGGGTCTGCTACACATTTTACCATTCTCTTGGCCACAAGAACAGATACTTGCATGGTAGGGAGATCTGTAAAACAAAATATGGTGAGAGCTAGTTTACAAGTCCATGAACAGAAGTGACAGAAAAACTGTAAAATTCCTGTAGTTCAAGAACTAAAAAGTGAGCAAGGAGGAGGTTTGGGCATATCGAAGCAGCTGATGCTACTCTAAGGGAAACACCCCATTCATCTTTACTTGCATTTGCACTTTTATTTAGATATTTGGATATGATAAGTAGGGAATTAGAACAACGTGAGCGTGCCGCAGAAGAGCAGCGCCTACTCCAGATGGACAGAGAAGAAAGGCGACAGCGGGAACAAACAAGAAGAAAACTTAGTCTTCGAAGAAAAATTGAAGAGGTAAGGAGATACATTTAACATATTAAGAGAAAAATTGTGTACAGTGTGTTATTTGTAAATAATTTTAGCTCTCTCTCATGCTTCTTAAAGTCATTTAAGGCCTAAATAACTTATCCACATTAATCTTTCTTCACACTTATAATATACAAGTTGTTACATAAAATAATGAGGCTGACACCACAAACTATATATGTGAGCCAAAATTGGCTCTTAAAGAGATGATTCTGAAGGTCACTAGACACCGTTTAACTCCCGATAGCCCTCATGGGGAGGAGGGTACTTTTTAAAATTTAGCTTTAGTAAAAAATATCCATGCCAACAATAACCGGGTCTGCATTCCTAATGAAAATACAGTAAGAAAAGCCCATTCAAAAGCCAGTGTATGCCTTTCATTATACTGACCTGATTTCTGTTAGGCTGGTGACTTGTTCTAATTCACTTGTTGGTGGCAGACAAAATACAAAGGTTTACTGTAAACCCTAAGTACAGTAACATTGTGTTCTCTAGGAATGGAAGGCAAAAGAGATGTTACTTCTGACTAAGATTGGAGAAGACGTTAAAAGAGAAGCTAGGATAGAGGAACAACGGCGTAGAAGCAGAGAAGAGAGTGACAAGAAGGTAGATTTGACTTTAACCTCTAATTTGGTCTCTTAGAGGAGAAGCTTTTGCTAGTTTTGGTTTGTTTTTTTTTTTTTTAATAATTAAATTTATTGGCTTGACATTGGTTAATAAGATTATATAGGTTTCAAGTGTACATTTCTTTCTTTTTTTTAAATTTTTTAAATTAATTTATTTACTTTTTAAATACATTTGTCTCTGCCTTCCCCCCATCTCTTTCCCTTGCCCCCTCCCACCTTCCCTCCCTCAGCTCTTCCCCTTTGGTTTTGTCCATGAGTCCTTGCTATATGTTCCTTGACTTTCCCCTTCCCTTCCCTTTCCCTGCCCCCCCCTTCCCTCTTGTCTCTGTTGATTTCTTTTCCTTTCAGTGTTGCTGGTCATATTTTCCTTGCTTCTTTGCATTGTTGGTTAGGTTCCACTTATAGGTGAGATCATATGGTAGTTTTGGTTTTTGAAAGTACGCTATATAAGACAACAATGGACCAGTTCCCCTCAAAGATATGCATTATACAAAGCTCAAAGTTACTTAGATTTTACTATATTTGGGCTATATGATGTTCTGCCCTATTATTTGATGTAACAGTTTTTGACTTTATCTTAAATCATAAACTGTACTTGTAATTCCTACAGAAAAAAAAATGACATCATTGATTTGTTTCTTAGAATCAGAACTTCTTGGAAGAGTTCTCAGTTTTTACCCACCAATTTTTAGTTAGTGCTTTTAATTTTAAATAATATATAATATTTTATGATTTAAAGTCTAAATCTGTATAAAGAGAGAAATCATGTGTAGTCCTAGTACCTCCACATAACTTATTGGTACACACTGACACACATGCATGCATATAAACTTGCATAATATTTCTATGAATGCTTATGTAGTTCAACAAATAAATATTGTATCTTCAATAATTCTTTAAATAAGTAGCACTGTAGCTGAATGCAGGTCCATGGTGTATGCTGCTTCAAAAGCTAATTTTCGGGAGGCAGGTACTGATGTAAGGAAAAGTAGTTTTTCCAGATGCCAGCTATCTGAAAGATGAGGGACTCTTGTCTCAAAGCTCATTTCCCTGGGAAGATAGGGGGCTTGTGTCTCAAAGTCCCTCTCCCTGGGAAGATGGGGGACTTTTGTTTCAAAGCCCATCTCCTCATCTCAGGGCAGGCAGAGGTTTTTATAAGGAGGGAGAGGGGAAGCAGAACAAAGATATAAAGAGGAGGGTTGAAAAGTTACCTATGTGCAGATGAGCACAGTCCATTCTGGTAAGGCAGGTGATGGTCCACTGTACATCATCTTGCATTAGTCATCTTGGATTCTTATCATCTTGGGTTCATCCATGGCTGAAAGTCAGAAAATCACTAGAGCTGGGATGCCTGAAGGTTTGAGCCTGTACCTTTTGAAGTTAGTTCCTAGGATTCTTACACAAACATACTGTTTATCTATAAGCTACGTATTAGTCTGAGTCAGCACTAACAGACAAATCTCAAGGGAAAGGTGGAGTGGGTTACATCATATTGTCCGTACATAAAGGTAGTTGTATTTCTTCTCTTTAAATTCTCTTTTCTTTTTATTTCTTTTCTTGCCTGATTGCACAGACTAGAACTTCCAGAATAATGTGGAATAGAAGCAGTGATACTAAACATTATCATCAAAAAATTTTTTTTGCCCCCTCTCCTCTCAACAAGCATCCTAGGCTGCTTGATATCCCACATCTCACTGACACTCTTTTGTTTCTGCAATTTTTTTCTCTTAGTCTTTTCCTTTTGGATGGTTTCTCTTTCTCTATAGACATTAATTAATCTCTTCCTTTGAGTTGTCTACTATGCTGTTAATATACCCATTACCTTACTGTCTCACACATTTTAAAAATTGATTTAGGTCCATTTTACATCTTTCATGTCTCTCCTTTACCTTTTAAATATGTGGAATGTAGTTATGTTATCTATGTTAATGTTCTTATCTTTATTTCTAACATTTGTGTCATTTCTGGGTCAGTTTTGATTGACTAATTACTCATTTTAAGGGTCATATTTCCTTGCTTCTTTATATGTTTAGGAGACTTTGATTGGATGCCAGATACCATGAATTTTATTTTTTAGGTGCTGAGTATTTTTATATTCCTATAAGTATTTTTAGCTTTTTCCTTGGATGTAGATAACTTATTTGGAAACAGCTTGATTGTTATAGGTCTTACTTTTTAAAATGTGTTAGATGGAACCAGAACCATGTTTAATCTGGGACTAGTAACTCTTCACTACTGAGGCAACACTCATTTTAATACTTTACCCAGTACACTGTGAATGAAATTTTTCCAGAGTGGCTGGTGAGAATAGACATGATAGGTAGGTGAGGAGCACTGCTCTCTCTAATCCTTTAGGATGGTCTTTTCTGTGGCCTCAGTAGTTTTGTTCTTTTGTTTTTTCACCTATAGGTACTGATCCATTTTCTTGCTGAATATGTCAGGGAATCATCTGAGGAGTTTGGGGGTTCTTGCTCTGTGCAATTATATCCTTTCTGGTACAGCCAGGATAGATATTAGTCCGGAGATTCACAAAGGGAAGTCACATTTCATGTATTATGTTTGCCAATGGTAAGTCTGAGTGACGTGATTAAATCACTCAGTAATCCTCCAGTTAAAGATGATTTATAGATTTCCTTAAATTCCCAGAATAGCTATGGATTAAGAGACCATCCTTTCTGATCTGAAACTGGACAACTTCCCTGAATATGTACAGTGAAGTAAATTGCATCTATGTGTTGAATGTGTATAGCCATCATGTTTGACTACAAATATAAATTTACCCCTTAAAGCCCTCTCAAATTTGTACTCAGAGTAAACTTACAAGTTAGAAAACAGGAATAACTGTTCATTTCCTATATACTATTATATTATCAATATTTGTAAGTAGCAAGTTGATGTTAACCAATATATTTTCTGTAATGTTTAGAAACAAGCCCTTTTAGAGAAAAAAATGGCTTATCATTTACAAAGAATGCAAGAAAATGGCTTTAATAGAGAAGAGATGGGAAAAAATACATCTGATTACAGAGGACAAGATGGAACACATTGTGAATGTAAGAATATTGAAAGCTGATGTGGCTCTGTAGAAAGTACTTTTTCTATGTATTTACTTAAAAATTACTTTGTAAAACATTGTTTACTTTTCCTTGCAATACTTGCTTCATACTAGGCACAGTTCTAGGCATTTCCCTATTACGGTTCAAGTTGAAAAGTAGACATACATGTAAAAATTAAAACAAAATAATCCCACCAAGTGGTCAGTGAACAAGCTTACCTATACTGAAGTTCTAACCAATTTCTCTATACTTAAAATAGTGTATTTTTTTCTATTGAAATTTGAAAAAGTTATATGTAAGATATGACTATTATATACCAACATAGTTTTCTGCTATGTTGCCAGCCAGAAAGAATAGTAGAGAGTACCAGGGAAAAACAAAGGAAAGAAGGAAGGGAGGAGTTAGAGAAGGAAAGGAAGTAACGAAAAATGGAAGGCAAAAAAAGAAGGAAATGAAGAAGGTTTAAAGGAGGAACATCAAGTCACAACTTTGTTATGCCCAAACTATCCCAGCTTCCTTTTATTTATAACCTCATAAGATTATAGGGAGGTTTATAAAATCAAGTTAATGAATGATATTAATTAAATTTTCATGGCCAGAATGGAAAAAATATAGACTTTTTAAAAATATTTGTGACTCTGTAGTATCAGGAAAAACATGCTCATCTTCCATGAGGTTGTCATATTACCCCATCAATTCTATCTTTGTCCCATTAACCCCCTTTTTTTAGCTGGGCATCTACCTATTTCACTCTAGCAGGTTACTGCTAGTCTCCACTGGCTCTTAATTTAACCTGCTTCAAATCCATTTTTTAAACTGCTACCTAATTATACTTAAAACTCTGTTCTGATGGTTTCTTTTCCTGGCCCCAAAACTTAAATATCTCCCTTATGTCTTAAATGAAGCTCAGACTTCTTAGGCAATCATTCCTCATCATGTAGAGTCCAAACGATATCTAACTTTTTTTACTTTATTTCACATATCTCCTTGAAGAAGGCAGCTGTGATCTAAGCATTGCATATAGACTCTTGAGACTAACCACTGAAGTCCAAGTCCTGCTTTACCCTTTTCTAACCATGTAGATAGCTTAAGTTCTATAAGCCACCGTTTCATCATTTGAAAACAAAGATAATAGTCCTAAATAATTCCTGTAAAGAGTTTAAAAGTTCTAGCCCATAGTGAACATTCAGTTTATTTAATTATCCAATCAAATGAGATGACTGACCATTCCTGAAGCACAAATAACCTTTCATAAATTCTGTGCCTCTCTTTTCCAATTTTCTCAGATTGGAACGACATGCTCACCAACCATCTGTCTAAATCCTATAATTCTTTAAGCTCCACTGTAAATGAAATTCCATAAAGTCTTTCTTAATAACCCTAATTGGAACACCCCTCTCTTTTGAATCCCTATAGTACTATGTGTTATTCTTGATACGCTTATTACATACTTCTGTCTTAATCAACCATAATATTGTAATCTTTGTACTTTATAGAGTACCCAGTACTGTATGTACATATGTATGTAAGTATAGACTAAATATATGTTTGCTGAATGAGCTAATTCAATCTATTCAGCTCATTGAGATAATGACAGCAATGTCATGTTTGAGAGAAAAAATCACTGCAGTAACTATATATGGTCCTTACTCTTCAACTGATAATTGTTTCGTTTAATAGGAAGAGAGTCTCAAGTTGACATTTTTAGCATTTGTTACCTCAAATCCTCCTCTTTTGAAGAAGTAAAATATAAACTTAATTTGTATTATCAAGGTGACACAAGATAAGAATATTTGTTTCACAAATGAAATTAAATAATACATCTGTAGTAATGTTGCCATCTTCCACAAAGTAGTCAGTGTGCAGGGTACACAAAGAGAATGGGAGAGTAAGGGACTGTCAGGTGAATCTGTTCCAGTGGGAAGACAGATCACTATCACATTTTACATCTCTAATAAAAACTCATTGAGCACACATGTTGTGAGGATCCTTTGCCTTCATGAGTGGTTAGGAACAGGAACTATAATTACCTCTGTCATGAAGACGGGATATGTATATGGTTGTTTATGCCTGGCTATGAGGCACATCTAACAACTGCAATAGTTACTGTGCGCTGGTAGGTCTCTAACCGGTAGCTATGTTGATATGCATCCCCACACAGAGGAAATTACATTTTACAGTTGATCTGTCTGTAGCTTTTCCTCTCTGCCAGAAGAAAAATCTGTCCCTCCAAGTATATCATTTAACTTGAAAGGATCATATTTCAAGAGCTATTGTCTTTCTTTGTATTTCACATCTCTCCATTTTCTCCAATACCTCCCCATAGTCCCACATGTAAATTAGGATATGGCTTAATTACTCTAGGGAATGAAGAAATAGTCTATCTTGGGTATTCTGTCATCACCATTATTAAAAATAAATGTTGTATTACATTTCTTTAAGATTATTCTCCAAAGAAGAAGAAGAAGACTCCTGATGATATAAAGATAATTTATCCTGTTGATGACCAGAAAGCAAATAAAGGTGATTATGGTAATTTACCTGTGTGATAAGAAATACTACATAGTAATTTGGGGAAAGGCTGTGTTTAGAGGGCTTCTTTTGCTTAAATGCAGATAAATCCTCAAATGATTGTTTCACAATGATTCTTGCCAACAGTGATACAACCTATATTGCTTTCAGAATTTGATCTCTAGTTATTGATTTAGTGTTTTGAACTTACCATTATATCATCATATTAGAAAAATTAAATAATGGGTCTGTTGCTATTAAGTGAACAGTACATGAAACCTAACAAATTGCAAAATACTTTTTAGAATGCTCAAAATGATTTTAGAAAACTCTGAAGTGAGTCATAAATAAAGTACATTAACTGCAAAGCCACCATGAACCCTACTGAAATATCACTTTATTATTTATCTCATATGGTGTTACTTCATGTTGTCTATTAGAGCTCACTGGAACCCAAATGATGGCGTGAAAATCCTCCAAATACTACACTATCAAAAGTATGAGACTGTTCAAAATTAAACAATATTAATCTCCTTTCACTATTAAATTTCCAGGGAAAAATTAAAGTATAATAGTTAAATCCCTTTGTTCTTATTGGTTAAAATCTAAGGGGAACAAAATCCAAAAGTAAGTAGTTTGATTGGTCAGTTTCATTAAGATTCAGGAACTTGCGAAGAGACAGGGTTGCCTTAGCTGAAGCTGTTTTTCACTCTCAGTACCACTGAGTTTGAGTTAATTCATCTCTAAGCTTTTTGGATCCCATTTTTAAATTCCAAAGATTTTTGTGTAACAGACCAAAGAGTTCTTACAACACACGCAGTTATGACCACACTAGCCTCGCATCTACTAAAATGTAAACAGTAAAACTAAATTATCAGTCTCTAAACCAGTTATATCACATAGCATGATCTTTAGTAGAAGCATGATCTACTAAACAATAAAACTCTAGTGTTTAGTGCAGCCTGGACACATCTTACTGATCAAAAAATCTCAGTGGTGTTGAAGGAAAGGATGCTAGATGGAAAGTATTATTTTCAACTTCATCAGGTTACCTGTCTATCTGTGACAACTGTCCAGGGATCAGACCTGTAAATTTAAGTGTATTTGGGAGACATATTCTATTAAATGATGAATTCTGAAACCATATTGATAAGTATCGGGAAGGAGAGGGAATTTATCTACTCTCCACTCTAAGAAGAATGGCATGTGAGGGATTCTATTTTGTGAATTTTAGAAATGTACAGTAGTTACATCACAAATTAGGTATTATTAGAAGTACCTGTCTTTCCCATTCACCAATGCCAAACCTTCCTGTTTCATTTTATCCTTGCACCCTGAGGACAGGCTCTGTACAGTGTCGCTGCCCATACACCCTTAGGGTCAGCAACTCTCAAGCAGAGTTAAGAGCTCTGAATTCTGTATGGTTCCTGCTTCTGATCTTGTCTCTGCACTTTTTCATTCTCGAAGAAAGATCCTGAGGTATTTTGCTTAGAAATCACCCTAAAGCAAAATAGAATTTTTGGTACAATTTCATGAATTCTAACGTGTATGTATCGGTGTGGCCTTTACCACAATCACGTAAGAATGGTTCCAACATTCTAAAAATTCCCTTCTGCAGTCACACCTTCCTCCCTCCCACTAATAACCCCGAAGAGCCACTGATATGTTCTGCGTGACTATAGTTTTTTCCCCCTTTGGAGAATGTCTTGTAAGTGGAATCGTAAGGTATTTGGCCTTTGATAATGACTTGTTTCACTCAACATAATGCCTTTGAAATTCATTCAAGTTATATCATATGTCAGTAGTTTAGTTTACTCCTTTTTATTGCTGAGTGGTATTCCACTGTATGCAAGCACTAGAAATTGTTTATATATATTTACCAATTAAAGAAAATTTGGGTTGTTTCCAGGTTTTAGTGATTATGAATAAAAAGATAAGCAGTATTTGTATTCAGCATTTTGCATGAACAGGTACTGGGTCATATGGTAAGTGTATGTTAAAGTTTATGAATAACTGCCCCAGTTTTCCAGAATACTGTAATAATTTGCATTCCCATCAGTAATACAAGAGAGATCCATTTGCTATGCATCTTTGCAACCACTGGTATTATCAGTAACATTTATTTTAGCCATTCTTGTAGGTGTAGTGGTACTCATTGTGGTTTTCATTTGCATTTCCCTGACAGATAATCATGCTATCTATTCATATACCTTTTTGCCTTTTGTCAATCCTGCTTGGTAAAGTATCTGTTGAAACTTTTTGCTCACTTTTAATTAAGTAGTTTACTCACTGTTGAGTTTTGGGAGTTATTTATACATTCTAAATACAAGCCTTTTTCAGATATGTGGTTTGTAAATAATTTTCTCTCTGTGATTTTCCTTTCCACCTTTCTGTTCTATTGATTATCCCTTTCCAAAACTGTACTGCTTTGATTATTGTAGCTCTTTATTGTCTTTAAATCAGGTATAATACCACATGTATTTTTTTCTTTTTCAAAGTTTTTATGGCTATTTTAATTCATTTGTCTTTTCCATATAAACTTTATAATCAGCTTGTCTACAAAAGTTATGCTGGGATTTTTTTTCCATTTTTTTATTGTCATCAATTGCAGTTGTCCCTGTTCTCTCCCATTGCTCTCCCATGCTCTACCGACCCCCCCTTCCACTTTCAGTCCTCCCCGACCCCGCTGTCTTTGGGTCTTTTACACATGTTCACTGACTTTACCCTCCCTCCTCTTACTACCCCCATTTTCCCCCTCTCCGCTCTCCTCTGATCCCTGTCAGTTCTTTATTTCCATGTCTCTGGAATTTTTTGAATGAAGCACATTAAATCAATCTACATATCAATTTGAGGGGAAAAAATATTTACTATACCGGTCTTCCAATCCGTAAATAGGGGATCTCTATTTGTTTAGGTCATCTTTGATTTCTTGAATGCATGTTTTACAGTTTTCAGCATAAAGATCTTGTATATGTATGTACATAGATATTTCAATTTTTGATGCTATTGTACGTGGTATTTTTAAAATTTAGTTTCCAATTATCCGTGGCTATTATTGTTTAGCAGACTTTGTCTTTTTGTACAGAATTTTTTAAAGTTATTGTTCTAGATAACAAGGTGCTTAGCTTTTTACAATCAATTATGAATAAATCTTTTCTCTCTTTAAGTGGAATATGGAAACCTAACTGATATATATGTCTCTTTATCCCTCTCACCTTTGTTATAGTTGTTATGTATTGCATCTACATACACCAAATATCCACTTAGACTATGTAACACATTTGGTTTTAAATAACTAAATAAGGGAAGCATAGTCTCTTATATATACTTAAATAGTTTTCATTTTGGTCCTTTAATTCCTGTTATCTCAGGTTTCCTTCTATATCTTTCCTCAGTCTATAAAACTTCCCTTAACCTCTCTTTTAGAACAGATTTTCTGGCACCGAATTATCTTAGTTTTTCTTCATCTAAGAATATCATTATTTTACCTTCATTCTTAAAAGAGACTGCTTTCACTTGATATAAAATTGTAAGGTTACAGGTGTTTTTTTTTCCCAGATCATAAAATTGTTGTTACATTTCATTGTAGTCACCATGGTTCTAATGAAATAACTACAGTATTTGAATAGTTAATCCTCTATAATTAATGTAACATTTTTCTATGGTTCTTAGGATTTTATTTTTTTGGTGGGGCTAGTTTTTAGCAGTTTGATTATGGTATATCTTGGTATGGATTCTTTTTGTTTGTTTTTGTTCCTCCCACCCTTCAGCTTCACTGAGTTTCTTTAAATTGTTTTTATCTTTTGCCAAATTTCCCTCAAACAAACTTTTTCCTGACAAAGAGCACTACTATCTAAATCTGGTGATTATCATAATCATTATTTTTCAATATATTTACTACATGAATATATGCCCCTTAAACTACATATAGAGATATATAAATACTATTATTAAGATACTTTATTGTAACTGATGTTGTTGTGACTTGCTTTTTGCACTCAGTTTTTTGTTACAGAAGCTTCGTCTCTGTGCTGCCTGACACTTTATTTCATTTCTATTCTAATCCCATTATGTGAATATACCACAATTTATACATTTTTGTTGATAGGATTATGTTACTTGAACAATCTTTCACTAAAGATTCTTGTTCATATAAAACTCCTGGTATTCATGGGCAAGAGATTCTCTAGGGTTTACATGCCAAGTATAGCGTTTCTGAGTCATGTTTCCTTTTCTGAGAAATTCTCTTTTCAAGTATCTTATCCATTTGCCTACTGGATTGTTCTTATGGAGTTGAAAGATTTTTTTAGTCCTACTAGACACTCTTAAACATATATATGGTATAATAAAATTCTTCCAAATTATGGTTTGTTTCTACTTTCTTTATTTTTTGATATACGAAAGTCCTTAATTCAATGTAATATAATTTAGCATTTTTTTCCTTCGTAGTTTGTATATGTAGTTACTTTTTATTTGAGGTCAATTTGTATGCGTTCTCCTTGATTACCCTTTTGTCTAATTTATGTGGCAAATATTCTTACAGTTTCATCAATGACTTTTCCTTAGCTTTTTTAAACATTGCAAACTTTAAAAAACCCAACAGAACCCTTATATGGGTTCACTTCACTTCAACAATAACTCATGGAAAATTGTTTTGTCTATGAACTCAATCTCTTCCTGCTGTCACAGAATTGTTTTAAAGCACATCCCGCACAGAATAGCATTTCATCCATCAATATATCAGTATGTATCTAAAAGATAAGGGTTATATTTTGATACATAACCACAACACCATTTTCACATTGTGCAAATTAATAATTCCTTAATGTGATTAAATATTTAATTACTAACTTTCTAATATCATGAATTTTATTGAAACATTTTGATGTTAGTTTGAATCTACATTGGCACATATAGCAATAGTTTGTCCTATATATCTCTCTACTCTCCCTCCCTCTTTTTATAAATTACAATGTATTTGTTGAATAAACTGAATTGCTTGTCCTGTTGAGTTCCTCACG